GTCAGCTGAGGTGGTTCGGGCATCTAATCAGGATGCCTCCTGGACGCCTCCCACTGGAGGTTTTCCAGGCACGTCCAACTGGGAGGAGACCCCGGGGAAGACCCAGAACACGCTGGAGGGATTATATCTCCCAGCTGGCCTGGGAACGCCTCGGGATCCCCCAGTATGAGCTGGAAAATGTTGCGAGGGAGAGGGAAGTCTGGGTCAGCCTGCTTGGCCTGCTGCCACCGCAACCCAACCCCGGATAAGCGGAGGAAAATGGATGGATGGATGGACATATAATATATACTTTAAAACATGTTCTGGAAAGTACAATATTACTTATTTTTGGGATCGCTGTGTTCCAAAGAAAGAGACAACTTTTCTCTTACTTTTCCATTGTATGTATTCCAAAATATTCTGGATTAATATGCAAAATGTTATATATATCTGTCTTGAATGTAAACATCATGTACAATCCCTTTAACATGTTTTTTAATTTTAATTTGCTTTTTTTGTCATATTTACTGACGTCCCTGGCACTTTGTTTACTCCTGTTCGTTGAACTTGTTTATATTTTATGATATTTTTATTGTTTGAATTTGTCTATCATAAATCAAGTTGGGGGAAGTCGTAGCTTGTGGTTTATTTATTTTCTGAGGTTCAGCTGTTTGCTTTGCTCAGTCGGTTATCCAAATTGTGGTAACAGGTCGCAGTATCTCTTTTCTACCACAGAGTGGTGCTGTCTACAACCTGGTGAGCTGGGTTATAATAGAATAGAATACAATTCAATTGAATAGAAATACAATTAATCAAAAATAAGTGAGACACATTTTGTATGTATTTTTTTATCATAATTTCGAGGTATTGAGATAAAAAAAGTGTATTGTGTTACTAAAACTAGCTTATTTTCTTGATGGTCCCTAAATCACTGATGAAATTGGGTAAAGACACCAATCAATATGTCAAATATACAGATACAAACTCACGTCACTGTGTTTCAGAAGCTCAGGCCTGGGCCATTACTCTGCACACACAGTGACATTTACCTATGCAGTAATATCCCCTACCTATGTCGGTAGCATTTCATTTAATCGAAATATTAAGGCTTGACTCCTAATAGGTTGGAACATTCCTTGGTGGGAAATATTCATATTGTTTGTTTACCTCAACATCGATGATTAAAACCTGTCTTTCTAACAATAGAGCTGTATATACGTTATTTATTATTATTTACATATATTATTTAAATATATTATTTATTATTGTATTTTATAATATATGTAATAATATATTTTATATATGTAATAATATATTTTATATATATTATTATTTATTTATTAATATATGTATAGTATAATATTATAAGTTGTATTATATATAATATATATACATTATTATTATTTGTTGATATTATTTTAATATATTATGTATTATTATATTTTATAATATAATATTAGATATACATTATTTATTGACATTATTTAAATATACTATGTATTATTGTATTTTATAATATTATATTATATATACATTATTTATTATTATGTATTCATATTATTTAAATATACTATGTATCATTGTATTTTATAATATTATATTTTATATACACCATTTATTATGATTCATATATATGTATTATGTATATAATATGTATATATGTATTATATTATAATTATTTATACCTCTAAAGTGTGATTGTAGAATCACTGAATCATGGGAACCAGGGCTCGATATTGCGCACGTCTTCGTCGCCACGGCAACCCCAGTACGTGTTCTGGCGGATGAAGTCATTTGTTACGCCGATCGTTACCATGGTTACAACCTAGAGAGGGCGCTGCGGAGGAAGCGTTCCACACGTAAAATGACGCAAAGGGGGCGGGGGCGTGCCCGTAGATGCGCGCTGCGCGCTGCGCGCTGCGCAAGCTTCTGCTTGTTGTTCCCGCAGAGAGAGAGGCGAAGAAGATGGCGGCCGTGTCAAGCGGAGGTGCTGCTGCTGCTGCTGGGTCCGCTGCGGCCGGGATTACGCACTCTGCCCGACCGACCCACGCGGGCATGGGCTCCCAGAACCGAGCCCAGCCGTCCTCCGGCATCAGCCACGCCGGTCGCACCACCACCACGGCCCCGGGGTGCATCATCACCAGTCCCGGCCATACTTCTTCGGCCACCAGGCCCCCCCCGGCCCGAGTGGGCCACTACGAAATCGAGCGGACCATCGGCAAGGGGAATTTCGCGGTTGTTAAACTAGCCACGCACGTCATTACCAAAGCGAAGGTAAGCGGACCAACGTCCAAGCGTTAGAGGTGAACAATTACAAGTTGTCATTGTTTTATTCCAATGCTTTTTTGGACCATGTAGCGTCACTCGGGATGACGCTGGGGCCTTCACGGACAGCCCGCTTTGGTGACACCGCTACTCGGTGTTAGGAGGAGGAGGAGGAGGAGGAGGGGGGCATCACCTCTAACTACTGGATACAGACACGTTTACCTTTACATAAATCTGATTCTACATGTATTAGCTCGTTATGTTTTTTTATTAAAGAAAGCCAGAAGGGCCCGGGGTTAATGTGAGGCAGAGGACGGAGAGAGAAGAGGGTATTTTACGAAGATGAAGAAAAAGAGGAGACAGATTGTTCCGACTCTTGGTTACGTTAGCTTAGCTTATTAGCTAATTAGCTGTTCGGCTACACGCAGATATCTTTTTAAGACTTGTGCCAACACAACAGGATTAAAAGTTATCCGACCTGCTGGCTGGACGAACTTCCAGTGTTGTTAGTTGTAGGTTGTTCCAAAAAGTGTTGTAAGTCTTTGTGAAAATCAACGTAAAAGCAGAACTCTTACTAACCAAATATGGGGAGATGCTGCGTTTTATTTTAAGCTAGTTTTACACTTTGCTTTTTTATTATTCAGCGGTAGGAAAGTTTCTTACGACGTGGTGTAACTGAAGCAGTTTGTCTACACTGTTTTTCAGTGTTGTGCACCCATTTTTTTCTTTGATATTTCCATATCCCAGTTCATAGCTCGGACAAGAAAACATTCATATGGCAAAACTAGTGGTTTCAATACTGCCACCACACACTTTTGAGTGGACGTAGATGCTTTTCGCATGGAGTGGGCGCCAGTTAGCAGTATACTAGATGGTTGCCATTTACTTGCAGCCACTATTATCAACAAAATCACAGAGCTACAAATCCATAAAGAAGGTTTTGGACTTTATGGGGGGGAATAACAAGTGGAAGGGAACGTTCAAATATTCCAGGTCGTGGTTTTGTTCTCTGCTGACCTATTGAATCAGGTGCCTCAATGTGTCATGGCTCTATTTGCCTGCGAGCCTGTTGTTGTGAATGTCACTCTGGCTATTTTGGCTACGTCTTCTCGGCATGGCATGTTAGTGCGAGTCCAAAAGGGTGAAAAACAGATAACGAATCAGAAAGCCCCAGTATGTGTGCATTGGACAACAGCAGCATCAGTATTATTTCTGCTGAGACACTCATTGATTTCCAGCCGGCTGGCTTCTGCTCGGGACCATGTGTGTGTAGACCGGTGACACGAGAAGCCTTCCTCTGGTGATGTGACTACAGCGATAAGTATGCACATCCCTCATGATGGACGCTCTCCTGAACATTCACAACAAACAGGGGTAGCTTAAGCCTACGCTTGCAGACAAACTCCTGCAGTGTAATTATTTTTACCTGATGAAGAGCCTTTAATTCTAACGGCACACATAAAGGCGTGTCGAGGCCGCTGAGTGTGCAGCTTCACCTCTGTGCTCTTGTTGACATGCACACAGACGGGCAGACACAAGTCATTTTGGGTGCTTTTTGCGCCACACAGCCCAGAGAGAACCTCCCATTTAGCTTCACGAGGCCAAAATAAACTAAGGTCAGTGAGTGCTTTGTAGTGTTTGCATGTCAATGCTGCAGGAGACACTTCTTGAAGGAATGCAAATGTGTTGATGTGACGATAATGTCATTCAGGGACTAGTAGTTACGGGAGCTGTGTGTTCAATCTTTTATAAGAGCAATACAAAGACAGTAGCAATGTTATAGTGTGAGATTAATGAGCTGGTTATTAAGCTTTACTCCATGCGTGTGTGTGTGAGAGCCTGTTAATACTTGCGTGCGTGTGTGTGTGTGTGTGTGTGTGTGTCTGGCTTTCTGTCCGGCTTTCTGTCCGAGTGTGAGAGACAGACAGAGGACAACATGACAGTGGACCACGGACTGACAGAATGAAAGAGAGGCCTTGTTTGTTGTCTGTTGACGGCGGTCACAGACCGGCCAGTCAGCTCATGATTTTCACCAGCCAGCTCAACCCCCAGTTGCTCATGAACATCAGAAGAATAAGAGTGTAGCTTAACGTGCCTGTGGAAATCATGAATATGGATATGATGATCAGTCATCAGAGCCTTGTTTTGTGGCCTCGGTTTTATAACGCTCCAATGGGAAACCCTGACTGGTCCTCTTGTTAGATGGAGCTGGATGATATCCTGCAGTGCAGGACCTGGTTATTTATACTTGGTAGCTTAGAAGGGAAAGAGATGGTCCCTGTCTGCCTCATTTGCTCTCTGCTGTTTTGTTAAAATCTAAAACACTCAACAGGCAATTTGTTTAAACTTTATTACCCCCCCAATACACGCGACCGTTTCAACCGCGTGTTTTGCAAATTCTTGCCGAATGGAGGTTGTTGATGTAGACTTGCTCACAGAGAGGCAGTCGCACCACTTAAACCTTCAATGGCAGATAGCTGGTGTGCTGCACCTGGATGTTGTAATAGTGAAAGTTCATGTCCTCCAGACAAAGGGCAGCTAGTGAAGTGGAAGTCAAAACAGAAGTGTTTACACACTCGCACGAATGCTGCGCTGGAGGCAGTTGGGCCACACTTTGCTGCGGTCTTGATAAATGTTGATTTCAGTTTTCATTCTATAAACTTTATTACTAGTTCTGACCTTTCAACAAGGGATGTGTGTGTGTGTGTGTATGTATGTATGTATGCGTGTGTGTGTGTGTGTATGTGTGTATATATATGTGTATGTGTGTATATATATGTGTGTATGTGTGTATATACAGTTGTGTGAAAAAGTGTTTGCCCCCTTCCTGATTTCTTATTTTTTTGCATGTTTGTCACACTTAAATGTTTCAGATCATCAAACAAATTTAAATATTAGACAAAGATAACACAAGTAAACACAAAATGCAGTTTTTAAATGAAGGTTTTTATTATTAAGGGGAAAAAAATCCAAACCTACATGGCCCTTTGTGAAAAAGTGATTG